CTTGTCTGTCTGGTGAGCCCCCACGCCCTGTAGTGAAAACCTCTCCAAAAAAAAAAAAAAAAAAGAAAAACAGTCATTTTTTATTAGAAACCCTAACTTAAGAGCCAGCAGATGGTATAATGGTTACATTGCTGGACTCCCACATAGTCAACTGCAATTTGAGTCTTGGACCTGGTGGCTTAAAATTCACTCCGGGTGCGTGTGCATGCATGCCCAAGAGAGGAGAAGGAACTGCAGTGTGACCATCTCCCTGGGGGGTGATTTCTCACTCTCCATCTCTCTCTGTCTCTCCAGAGAACACATGCATCCTATAGCAAAAATCTCTCTTTAAAAAAAAAAGAAAGAAAGAAAGAAAGAAAGAAAGAAGAAAGAAAGAAAGAAAGAAACCTTGTCTGCATTACTACTTGTCTTCTGGAGATGGGTCCACTCTGCCATGAGATACCAAGTGCTCTCCCTTTCATCTTTATCCCTTTTAACTTAGCATTGTCAAACTTGTAAGGTCTTATACTACTCTACCCTCTCTGTATTGACCAGGTGCGAGGATAATGTCTAAAAATGTACCCCCAGATATCTTAGTACATAAGTAAACAATGCACATGTAAACTTAAGCCACAGTAAAGCATGGGTTAATATCAAAAGATTTAAACAGTCTCCAACTCTACCAATAGGGCACTTGACAAATTATAATAGAAACATATAACATTATGCTGAGTAAAAAACAAAGCTAACTTATATGCTGACATGAAATCATCTCCACAATATAGTTAAAGAGAGCGATATTTACTTATTTCTTTTAAAATAAAAATTACATACATATTGTTTTATATATTTAAAAAATAGTGTTGGTTGCTTATAGAGAGGAAAGCTAGAGCCAGAGAATAACAGTGAAAGAAAAACTTACTATAGACCCTTCCATTTTTTTTCTTTTGAGAGAGATTTTTGCTATAGGGCACATAAGCTCACTGGAGAGACAGAGAGACAGAAACAGGAAGAGAGAAATAACTCCCGTTCCCAAGGGGAATGGCCATGCTGCAATTCCTTCTCCTCCATTCTCATCTTGGGATCTTGAGCACACAAACACACATTCACCAAGTGTGAGTTTTAAGTCACTGGGTCTAGAACTTGAACTGTGGTCGATTATGTGGGGAGTCCAGCGACATAACCATTACTCCATCTGCTGGTCTCCTCCCTTCCTTTCTTTGGAAAGAAGTCAATTTTGTGAATTAAGCAACTACTAAACAATAATTAATTAATTAAAAAAAAAAAACAGAAGGAGGGCCAGCTGATGGCATGATAATTACCTCTCTGGACTCCCACATAGTTGACTATGGTTCAAGACCCAAATCTAGTGACTTAAAAAACTCATGCCAGTCACGTGTGTGCGTGCATGCCCAAAATCCAGAGAGGAGAATGGAGGAAAAGGGAATGCAGCATGGCCATCCCCCCTGGGGGGTGATTTCTTGCTTTCTGTCT